TGCAAGTAAGAGATATTTGGACAGAGAAGCATTCACACAGAAGTGTTACCTATTGTGTGTAACTGAGGATCACGTCTTTGTTTATCATAATGGCTTATGACAGTTCTTGACAGTTGTGATGTGTGATATATTCTGCTTCAAATGCAGTCATGCCGTAGAAGCACTTAAGTAATTACAATTGTATAGGCATGGAACCAGTTCAATTTTTGGCAGTCATTTTAAATGTACTTATATTTTGCTTAGTAGCCATGTGTCTGTGCAACTCTGAAAGAACTTACCTTTACTGATGTGTTTCATGTGAAAATACTTTTCCTGCTTGGCACATACAGGCTACCTGGATTTCACTTAATTGAGTGACAGTATGCATTTAGGTTGTGGAATTCACAGGTAGTGTGATGTTCACCCTGGATCCTATGCTCTTAATGTGCAAATATGCATTTCCAGCATTTTGAACCAATGTTAATTTCACACACAGGCTGGGGAGAGATAGGGGCAGTGCTGCATAAGCAGCTCCCAATTTTTATTTATTTTTAAGTCCAATCAAGTAAGAATTTGGAACTGTCAAATCCTAGAGGAGCCAGGAAAAAACAGGGATAAGCGATAGTGCTGAGCCCAGACAAAAATCAGCTGAATCAAAATCAAGAGCAGCTTCAACAGTTGAACTTCTAAGCACAGTGTTTTATTAAGAACTGATAAATTGCCACACATTACTTTTTATGTTGATGCTCTTGTAAGATGTTGGCTAGCAATAAGTTGCTACAGTATTCCAAAATGAGCCTAAACCACATAGGTTATCATAACATACATTCTCATCTGCTGTGCCGACAGAAGATAATAGTATTAACCAGTAATTCTCCTGAGAGTCAGTTACTTTAATTTTCTAGTAATTACTATTTAAGAATTGATCCGTGTTACCTACATATAAAGTGTTCAGGAATCATCTGTTTGCGTGGTGCCAGCCTGAGTCTTGATTCTGCCCCGTTGTTCTCTCCTTGGGGTCAGACGTTCTTCCTAGTTGACTGTGGGAGCATGCAGAGCTATCCCCGAAGGAAGCCAATAAATATTACACGTAAAAAGAAGATATGTACACTAATAGATGCTGGTGGTGCAGTGCCTTAGGTGGGTGGTTTCTATTCCCTTTTCTCTGCTACAGAGTCATAATTTGTAGTCCTGCTTTTGCGTTGTTGTGTCGTAAGCCTTGCTGGTCCAGAACTTATTGAGAATGGGTGATCTTTGCAGGATACGGAGGTCTGGCTAAGATAACAGAAATCTGAATAATTTTCCAGAGCTTAGTAGGAGGTGGGCTTCCTTGTGTTTTAGGTGGGCATCTTTCCCTTCAAAGCAGAGTATCAGTTTTTGCCTCATACAGAGTAGGAGGCAGCAAGCTGCAGCTGTGCCCTTTGTCTCAAACAGGGCATTCCTTAGTGGGAATGAACAGCAGCTGTTTCTGAGGAGTGTTCCGAAGCAGGGTCTTAATTCTGTCTTTGATGTCTGGAGAAGAACACTGCTTTTGCCTTACAGAATTCTCTGGAGAAAGTAATAATCTAATAGCCATAATTAAGGGTCTGTCACACGAGAGACTGAGAGGAGTAAGAGACTGATTGTTATTCATTGGTGTGTTTATAGAAGAGCTTACAGCTTATACAGCTCTCACTGGAGATGAACTAAAAGCTATCACTCTGGGGACTGTTTTTGCACTACCTAAAGGTGAATTGCTGTATGCTATTTGTTTTGACTTTCACAGAATCCATTGTAAAGAAGGCTCGGAAATCAAAGATTATATTCTTTCTTACTCAAGAAAAATATCCATTAAAATTAGCGAGTATTTTGATTGAATGAGGTGGTGAAACTAGTCTGGAGTGGATGTGTTTAAAAAAGAGAAATTATTTTAAAACTTGTCTGGTTAAGTGGGAGAAAACGGAATATGTGGTAAGCTGGTTGCTTTAAAAATAGAGCTGTCTCAAAGCAATGGGCACATTCTTTCCATGTTAAACTTTTCAGCGTTTCCCTGAGAGGGCATCTCAGAAAGGAATGGACTTGGATGTGTTCAGGAGGAAGAGAACACAGCAGGTGTACTTGGTTTTGGATTCTGGTGAGTCCTTCAAGGTAAGAAGACATACTATAGACGTACGTGCGTGCGCGCTATTGCTCGCGTGTTTCTGGACGGTAGAAATGCTACGACCTCCGATGTGTCTAGCTCCCTCAAGGGACCAAATTAGGGAATGCCAAACCACGGAGCGGCAGAGAAAAGTAAAAATCATTGGCTGGCGGTGGGAGTGACAAACCGAGAAGCTCGATTGGGCTTCTCAATTGTACTTTGGAGTGTGAGGTAATAATGTGGTGGTAAAATAGATTTTTTTTTTTTTTTATTTTTTTATTTACAGAATAAGATACAAGCCTTTCAGGAAGATGGGTTTGACTCAGGCATATAATGGGAGTTAAGGTGGGAGTGACTGAGAAAAAAACGTGATGTAGGAGGTCAGACCAGAATGTTTTTACAGTTCCTTCAGCTCTTAATGTTTTAGGAAAGTTAAACTGAAACCTCTCTATGCTGGGGTTTGAATAGCACATCTCTGTAGAGCTGTAAACATCTCAAGCTCAAGGGACATTAAGGTTTTAAATGGGACCATGATATTGTCATGTCCTTTTGTTTTATACCAGAGGACAGCTGCCCTTATAATCCTTGACTGTGTAATGGAGAAGCCAAATAGTGGACATGAGCATCTAAAAAAGACACATGTCGTGGATGAAAAGGAGATTCAATGAATATTTAAAAAAAAAAAAATCAAGCTGTCACTGAAGGATGGTAATGTCTTCTGGCTTTCTTCCAGAGATCTGCAATTAAAGCCCTTGTGTAAATCCTACATGAGTGAGGGTCTGAGGGAGCAGGGGCTAAATGCTTCTTAATGAACTGGGACGAAGGTAAGTGTGATACTGACAATGTGGTCACCTTGTCCATCTAAAGCTCTTGTTCAATCCCTGATGAAATTTGAACAGTAAGGGGAAGCAAGAAATAAATCCTAGAAATTAAGAAAAAAATCTAGAAAAACTTTTACTCCTGTTCTTTCTCATCCTCCATTAAGATTCATGTGGGATCTGTGTATGTTGAGGAAATGTAAACAGAAGTGGTCCCTGATTAGTGATAAACACTGCTGCAAAGCTGTGAGGTGCAATAGGATTAAGGGCCTTCGCTGAAATTCCCTGCGATAAAGTAATGTCACTTCTTTCTGAATACAAATATTTGGTCAAGCTTGTCCTTTGGAGTGATAGTCTGTTGGAACAGAAGACCCAAACAACATTGTTGAATGTTAAGCTATTTTAATGTGGTGGGTTTTTTTGTTGTTTGTTTGTTTTTAGGCAGAAATTTCAATCATTAAAACTCTTTATTTTAACTTTTTGTATGGAGAAATAGAGCATTTCAATCCGATAGGTAATGTTAAGGAAAAAAAAAACCAAACAGATAGTTACCCAAACCAAAATTCTTTCAACGTTTCATTTTGTGGAAACGTGAAGTCCCTTCAGCATTTGTACTGTTTTGAGATTACCTTCTCACCTACCTTGAACACATTGTTACTTCCCAGTTCTGCCTTACAGGTTCGTAGTTTGGTGTAGTTCACAACTGTCACAACAACTAGCCAATGACCATGGCAATTAAATATTTTTGTGGTTTATTATCATATTCTAAATACTAAACAGACAAATATTCTCAGAGAGATCTGACAGCTGACCTGCAGACTGCACACTGCATTTGCTTGTGTATTTAAGCTCAGTATTTCCATGAAGATATAGTTCATTAATTATTATTTTATTGATGTCCAGTTGATGTCTTATCAAATATAAATCATGTTAGGGAATAATAATTTAATGGGATGAGTCAGATGAGAATCCTCCAGATAGCTTGTAATGAAGCTTCACGTTATTGATACTTCTAAGCTCATAAATTATTAAGGGTGGAAAAAAAAAAAGCAACAATTCTAAAATGAGCTATGAAAATGTTAAGTGGTGGTAAACAGACGCACAGTGTGCTGGGACTTCTGCATGATAACGTGTTGTTTGGCACTAAGCCATGTAAGTCAGAATCACTTCAATGTTTCCTGCTCTTACCAAAACATCTAATACTTCAGGAGGTATCTTCCCCTCGTATCCCATTATTATGCTGCACCATTCTGCTCACAGACATTTTGCCTTGCCTGGGAAAACTGTTAATTTAATACACTAAGCTGACCCTGGAGGCGCAGAAACGACATGGCAGCAGCAGTCTAGAGAGCTGCAGTATATCCTGCTGTTAACAGCTGGGGACACTGTGTGCTTTTCTAGACAGTTGTCTGAGAGCTCTTTAGGGAAAAGTGAGGAAGCTGGCTCTTTGACCACATTATGTCAAGGAGGATACATCCTGTCCCTTAGCATCTTTCCTCTTTTCCATGGAAGACAGATTTCCCATCTCGCTCCTCTGATTTTCTTGAAGAGTTAGTGACAAAACCATTGGTCTGCCTCCTACAAGAAAGAAAGAAATATAGGAGTAAAAACCCTTAGGTAAGAAAAGAAGGCATATACAGAAGCAGAAAATTCTCCTAAAAACAGTTCTTTTCGCAGGAGAAAAGAGGTGGTATACCATGGAAGAAATGGTACTGTCTGTTGGGAAAAACCTATTCAAAATGGCAGTCTTTGTTTTTCTTTATCAAAGTGCACTCATTTTTACTTAATATTTAACTTAACAGGTCTGGGTTTCTTTTTTTTTTTTTTTTTTTTTTTTTTTTTTTAATTAGCAAAATATAAATTATTTATGTGAGTTAAAAAAAATAAAAAAAAAAAAAAATTTTTAATAATAAAAAAAAAGCTGTTTGTA